ACTGACTTCAAAACAACACAACTTTCCATATTTGACAAAAGACTAGAAAATATAAGTAGATCTATAATTACTTCATCCACAACTAAACACTTTCCCACAAAAAATACTCCAGGCGCACTATACTTCATCAATGAATGCTACCAAATAGTTCAGAAGTAACACCATTCTCACATAAACTTATTCCAGTAATACTATTAAAGGAGGAAACACTTTCCAACTCATTTTGTGAGGCAGCCTAACGCTTGTACCAAAATCCTACAAGGATGTCATGGGAAAGAAAATTTAAGAACAATTGCACTAGTCAATACAGAGGCAAACGTTCTAGGCAAAACGTTAACAACGTCCAAAAATGTATACTAAGGATAGTCCATCCTGAATAAGTTGCATTTAGTTGAGGATGTAGGTTTCCTTTAAATTCAAAGATTAACCAACATAATTCATCATAGTAACAGAAAGAGGAAACTCAAAAGGTCAACTAGACAGGTGATGATAAAGGTATTTGATCAACTTTTACATTTATTTATGATTTTAAAAAAATCTCTTCTATACAGCCATACTGGGAAATAGTTTTATAGTTTTTTAAAAAACTAAATATGAAACCATTTGCACTCATGGATATTTATCCCAGAGAAATGAAAACTCATGTTCACACAAAAATCTATCTAAGACTGGTCATAGCATCTTTATTCATGATAATCAAAAACAAAACATTTATTTATGATTTTAAAAAAATCTCTTCAATACAGCCATACTGGGAAATAGTTTTATAGTTTTTTAAAAAACTAAATATGAAACCACCATTTGCACTCATGGATATTTATCCCAGAGAAATGAAAACTCATGTTCACACAAAAATCTATGTAAGACTGGTCATAGCATCTTTATTCATGATAATCAAAAACAAAACAATGTCTAAGTAAAGTGATATATCTAGACTGTGGACTACTTACTACACAGCAATAAAAAGAAATGAACTATGTATGAAACAACTTGATAAATCTCCAAGGAATTATACTGAGTGAAAAAAAGCCAATTCCTAAAGATTACATACTATAAGACTTATTTAATTTACATAAAATTTTAAAAAATCAAAATTGAAGCATAAGGAACAGATTAGTGCTTACTAGGAATTAGGGATAATAAGCAGGAGGAAGATGGGAGGGAAAGAGGTGTGCTTATGACAGGACCATGCAAGGAGTCCTGGTGATGATGTACCTGCTCTGTATCTTGACTATGGTGGTAGATACAGGAACCTACACGTGAGATTAAATTGTACAGAACTAAATACACAGGAGCACACGTAAAATTGGGAAAATCTGAATAAGATTAGCAGATTGTAATGTCAAGGTCCTGATTATAGTATTATACTATAACTCTGCAAGATGTTACAATTGGAAGGAACTCAGGAAAGGCTACACGGAATCTCTCTGTATTATTTCTTCACAACTTCATGTTAATCCACAGGTTATCTCAAACTTAAAAGTGTCATAAAAAAATGTCTAACAAAACAATAGATGAAAATTTCCCAGTCTATCAAAAGTAGTTCTGAAAAACACAACAAATGTCATACTTTCTGGAATAATATTGAAAGCTTTCTTTAGTATCAACAACAGGACAAATACCTGCTCTCCCTACTTTTATTCAGCACTATTTTAATATTTTATATTAGCATGACATAAAGCAAATGTAAAATAAAAATTACAAGGACAGGAAAAGAATTAAAACTGTAATTATTCACAGGTCATATAGTAATATATGTAAAATCCCCAAAGAATCTACAGACAAATTTTTAGAATTAATAAATGTATCAGCAAACATACTAGAAAAAATATACAAAAATTGTATACACAGCATAAAAAAATTAACTGTATATATTAGCAAAAAAAACCCAAACTGAAAATATGCCATTTATAATAAAATAAGATTACATGTTTAAGAATAAATATAAAAAAGTATGATGCCCCATACATAAAATGACAAGCATTATTAAGAAAAATTAAGGAAGATGAAAATGAAAGAATATTCCATAAATAGATTTTTAAAAATCAGTATTATAAAGAGGCCAACTTCCTGAATTGTTCTATAGAGCAAATATAATACTAATCAAAATTTAAAAATTGCTACTGGTGTTGAAATTAACAAGGTGTTTATGTAACTTACATTGAAATGTGAGGAGGTAATAGCCAAGTCACTGTTAAGGAGCATCATGGGAAAATTTGCTCTGCTAAATTTATTTAAATGAATTTTTAAATTATTTTTAAAGTACTTAAAAGGCTGTAACATTAAAGGAGTGAAGTACTGGTACAAAGATGGTCAGAAAGACCACTGGCACAGAATAGAAAATGCAGAAATGGACAATGAACAAATAGGCACACAATTATGACAAAAGTCAACCTGCCAAAAAAAGGGGTAAAAGATGGTCTTTTCAATAAATTGTGCTGGGTTGGTATATCAATTTTCTGTAGCCATCATAAAAAAAAAAAACTTAGTGGCTCAAAACAGTACACATTTATTATCTTCTAGTTCTTTAGGTCACACTGATATAAATCAAAGTATTGGTGGGGCTGTGTTCTTTTTCTGGAGGTTCCAGAAGAGAATCTGTTTCCTTGTCATTTCTGGCTTTTAGGAAGCTTCCACTACATTCCACACTCAGTTTTCCACATTGGCTCTATAGTTAGAGCCAACAATGTTGCATCTCTCTAACTCTTCTTAGCCTGACGTATATCCCTCTGACCACAACCTGGCAAGGTTCTCCTCTTTGGGAGACCCATTTGATGAGATAGGGCTCATTCAGATAATCCTGGACAATCTCCCCATCTCAAAATCACGTCTGCAAAGTTCCCTTTGCCGTGGAAGGTAACATATTAGCAGGTTCCAGACATTATAGGACAGGGACATTTGTGCGGGAACTATCGTTCTGCCTACCAGTCAGTTAGACATCTCTATATAAAATGTAAGAAACTTCCTTTACCTCTGACCATACATAAAACCAATCCCAGATGGACTGAAACTCTTAATGTGAGAGTAAAAAAAAATAACGACGTTGCGGAAGAAAATACCAAAGAGTGTCTTCATGATACAGGGAGAGTGAAAGATGTCAAAACCAGGACACACAAAACATCTATCATAAGACTGAGAAATTGATCTAGATTAAAATTAGGAATTTCCTTTTATCAAAACATCCTATTAAAAAAGTGAAAAGCAAATCCCAGAGTGGGAGAAGATATGTGTGGTACACATCATCACTGAGGGACTGTGTCAAAGTTTTGGTTCACCTAAAAGCAGAGCCTGAGGAAAGGATGTGGTACAGGAGTTTCTGGGGACCCGCAGTGTGTTATACTTCAAAGAAAACAAGTTAACAAAACCCTCCCCCTGCCTCCATATAAATGGTCTTTAATGGAATAGCTAATATTTACTAAATGCTTTCCATGTGCTAAATTCTAAGAATTTTACATATAAGCTTAAAATGCCTAATGTCCTAAAGCAACTAAATATTGTTCGTGAAGGCAGGGAATTTTGTCTGTTTTGTTTACTGCTAATTCTCAGTGCCTAGAAAAATGTCTCTTCATAAATAAAGTGGCAAAGACAGAATTTAAACCCACACTGTCTTCTGGTAAACCTTGTGTTCATAACACTGGCATGATATATAGCTCATAATGTTACTCATTAATTCCAGTTCTCCTATTCTGGTCCAGATTATAAGAATGAAGATAATGAAAGTATAGGAAAATGAAAATTAATTTAAAGCATCACCCATTAATCTAGATTTTTTAGAAGTAAGGGGAATAGGAGAAACCAAAGGCCTGAAGAATGTTTTAAGATAGTTCACTTCCCCACTAGGTTAAAGATCATTGCCTGTCATTGCCAGTCAACACTTTCACCATTGCCAGTGAACATCACAGATTACAGAGACCCACCTTCATAGCCTTTTTCCCAACACCCACGCATAATCCTCGCATAACCTTCTCACAGATGAAAAGACATGTTAGTGTGGGCTGCTGGGCCAGCAGTCGCCTTTCCAGCCACTGAGTCATATTTAGCCAAAATCAAAACCAAACACGTCTTCCTCTAAGAAACAGACAGCCAGGGCTTTCACACTAAACCCTGGGCATTTTTTCCCCCAGCAGACCAGGAGCTCTAGTGGTTCAGGGATGCTGACCAAGAAATGGATTGTCCAGACTGCAGATTATTTAGAAGTTTTTTGTTTGCTAGTGGTGTACTGGGTGGTGATGGTGATGGTGAGTGTAAGTGTGTGTGTGTTTGAAACCAGTGTGGAAAAGTTCATGCAATGGTCTGCCCTCATTTTAAGAAAAATGATTACAATATAATCATATAGTAAAGACACTAAAGTCTCTTCTGAGCGTCACAATTTCCCTTCTGCTGGAAGATGGCCAGGTGATTTTTTGGTGGACAAGGGAAATATCCAAAAGTATTGTTCATGTTTTTTCATTGCAAATGCATTTAAATTAAGGACCAAAAATCAACTTTTGTCAATTGAAGCTATAGAAGTGGCTATTTCAATGACTTTAGATACAAGTGTTTGGCATTTGCGATTATGTCTCCACAGAAATTTTGCAGTCTAAAATACTAACATATTCCTACTCCTTGTGCATTTTATTTTCTATGAAGCATATTTATGTACATATCCATTACTGCATTATTAAATCACAGTGCCTGTTTATTGCTCTTTCCTTGAACTTATTGAAAGTGGATGATTTCTATTTTCCTTAGAATATATTACATTTATATACAGTGATCTTTTATTCAGTCACAAAACTGTATTCATTTTAAAAGTTATAATTTCATATAGTTTTTCTAGAATTATATGCAATAAAGTTGCAGCCCATAGGGAACAATTTTTTTTAAATAGGTATATCTGGAGAACTAAATAATAAATTTCAACTAAGGCCTATACATATATTGTACACAGGATTATTTGCTATTTATCAAATTTCATATTTTTATTTTTTCTATATGAAAGAGTCCATACCTATAACTAAATGTATTTTTATTTGTTTTGTATTCTTGAAAATTGAGGGCTTTAGCAATCCCCTCCTGAAATGAAGAGTTATATATTGGGATCTCTGGAAGACTAAACTATGGAAATTAAACTAGGAGACAGCCAGGATCATTTTTAGTAAAACAGTGTTCACATCCCAAACCCCAGACTTTGATTAGGTATTATGAAAGAAGGAAATTAAGGTGAAGATGGAACCAAAGTTAATAGTCAACTGATGTTATAAGGAGATTATCCTGCATTATCAGGACTGGCCCCAAGTACTCACAAGGGTACTTAAATGTGGAGGATGGATAAAAAAGTCAAAGAGATGTGGTGTGGGATAGATACAATAGAACATTAACTTCTCTCAAAATCTCTGTGTTGATTCTTTTACCAATAGCATAAAATTTACTTAATGTAAGAATACCCATGATTTATTTTTATATGCACAATACCATATTGGTTTGTGAATATGAAATGAAAGAATACCGAAAGTAAAGAAATGCTTCCTAAAGGATGAGCCCCAGGTACTACGGGAGTATAAATAATGTACTCCCTGTATGGGTAGGATTGTGGATTCTTGGTGTTCGATAAGTATGGATAATTTGGTGTCTAAACTTGTGCCAAGTCTATATTATTTAAAATTGATATGAGGTAGTCAAGCCACAGAACTGACCACCTGTCACTTGGCCCTTGTCCAAGTGACAGAGTGATGCTCCTCACTGCACTGTTCTTGTTGTCTCCAGAACTCTTTGAGTTCCTGAATTCTCAGAATGACTTCAAAGGTAAGGTGTCCTTTTACATGAGCAAGGTGATAAGGGGCCTCTCTGCAACACCTGCCTTCCGATCATACTCGAGGCCAGGAGCATCCCCAGAACTTCTTGGTGGGCTAGGTTTGAATGGAAATCCACCAGTTACATCTTCCATCCCCTCTTCTTCTTACAGTTCTGTTTTCTCAGTACTAATCTCCTCTTCCATGCTGTGGCTTCTAATGTGACCAAGACCAATCCACTAAGCAGCACTAACTACTTCTCATGTTCCTCCATAAATTGCAATGTCTAGAGCCTGTTTTTCATACCATCACTATTTAGAGATGCTTCATTTGTAGAAATGCTGCTCTCAAGTGCATACATGGTGATCCTCTGGTCCAGGCATCAGGGTCAGTCCCATCAGCCTCTCCCCCAAGAACTTCCCCACAGAAGAGGGCCTCACAGACCATCCTGCTGCAGGTGAGTTTCTCTGTGGCCATGTCCTGGGTGGACTTCATCATCTGTCCTCTTCAACCCTATCAGGGGCATGTGGTCCATTCATCCTGGGTGTCCAGAGTTTTGTGGTCAATTTCTATGTCACTGTCCGTCCTTTGGTGCTAATCAGAACTGATAAAAGGACAATAAATATGATGCAAAATACATGATAGAGATACCATATGTTTTTAACAAATTATTAAAGAAAATAGTTATCTGAAATATAGGTTCTTCTGTCATCAGTTCCATTATTCACATGGCAGAGGATTTGATACTTGATTTAATTAAAATGTGTGAAATTTCAGTCATTATATCTCAGTACTTTTGAAACCGATACTGCCAAAGACTTGTTGGATTCTTTAGACAATGTCCACCATGATTTGGTAGTCCTATATATTTAAATATTTCTTACCTTTCATTTTGATTTTCAGAACTTCACATAATAAAATTTTTCTAACTTTCTGAGGTGCATTCTTAAGAAGCTTTTATTGGTAATGAAATATTTTAGTTCATGTTTTTTTAAAATTACCTTGGGTACCTTGTTGAAAACCAACTAACCATATATGTACAGATTTATTTCTAAACTCTCTATTATGTTCTGTTGGTCTATATGTCCATCTTTATGCCAACACCACACTGTCTTTATTACTTTAGCTTTAGAGTAGGTCTTAAAATCAGGTCGTTTTTCTTCTACAAAATTGTTTTGTCAATTTTAGGTCCTTTGCCTTTATATATAAATTTTATTTATTTATTTATTTATTATCTTCTGACCCCTTCCACCCATTTCTCCTATCCCCCACCCCCTACTTCTGGTAACCCGAATCTGTTCTCTGTATCTGTGTGCTTCTTTTATAAGAGAGATAATATGGAATTTGTCTTTCTCTGTCTGACTTATTTCATTTAGCATAATGCCCTCGAAGTCCATCTTTGTTGTTGCAAATGGAAAGATTTCTTTCTTTTTATGACTGAATTTTATATATATGTATACACACACACATATAAATATCAAAATTTCTTTATCCATTCATCTATCTATGGACACTTAGGTTGTTTCCATATTTTGGTTGTTATAAATAGTGCACAATGAAAATGGGTGTACATATATATTTTTGAGTTAGTGTTTTCATTTTCTTTGGATAAATACCCAGAAATGGAATTGCTGAATCACATGGTAGTTGTATTTTTAATTTTTTGAGAAACTTCCATACTGGTTTTTCCACAGTGGCTATACCAATTATTTACCTCCCCACCAACAGTGTAGGAGGGTTCCCTTTTCTCCACATCCTCACCAACACTTGTTGTTTCTTATCCTTTGGATAGTGGTGATTCTCACAGGTTTGAGGTGATATTTCAGTGTGGTATTGATTTACATTTCCCTGATGATTAATGATGTTGAGCATTTTTCATGTAACTGTGGACCATCTGTATGTCTTCTTTATAAAAATGTCTATTCATCTTCTGCCCGTTTTTTAATCAAATTGTTTGGGTTTTTGCTATTTATATGAATTCTTTATATTTTTTGGATATTAACCACTTATCAAGCTATGATTTGGAAATATTTTCTCCCATTCAAAAGTTGCCTTTTATTTTGTTGATGGTTTCCTTTGATGTGCAGAAGCTTTTAGCTTGATGTAGTCCCATTTATTTATTTTTGCTGTTGTTGCTTTTACTTTTAGTGCCAGATTCAAAAAGTTATCACCAAGACCAACATCAAGGAGCTTACCGCCTATGTTTTCTTCTAGGAGTTTTATGGTTTCAGGCCTCATATTCAAGTCTTTAATCCATTTGAGTTAATTTATGTGTATGGTGCAAAAAGAAGTTCTGGTTGGGCCCCAATGAGACCAATGAAATCACCAATACTAATCTCACATCAGTGGATCTGGAAGCTGATTAAAGATAGGCTGACATCTAGAAGCCTGTCTATTCCCAAGCTTGATGCTGGAAAAACACCTTGGCCTGCTCTAAGGGCTGACATATGGGCATAGGATGTATAAGCATACTGTCAATGCTCAAAAGCCTGAGAAGGTAACCTGTATCAGAATTCTGTTCTGGCTGCTCAGAAGATATGGTGAATCTAAGAATATTGACCTTCACGTGTATCAAAGCCTGTACCTGAAGGTAAAGGGGAATGTGCTTAAAAACAAGTGGCTTCTCATAGAACATACCCACAAGCTGGAGGCTGACAAGGCTAAGGACTATTACTGATGTTCATGATGTGTTTTGTTTCTCTCTTTTTTTCTGTATATTGGTGAAGTTGTTGTTAAGTGGTTAGATAGCAGTATTTCTTACTAATATTTAATCCACAAGATCAGGAGCATTTTCTTCATACATACCCAGTTCTGTGTTCTGGCCCAGATGGAATAGTAGAATCATGGAATATTTACATGAAAAGATAGACAAGATATGGAAGCAATGGAAGTATCCATCAATAAATGAGTAGGTAATGAAGATGTGGTACATATGTACAATGGAATATTATTCAGCAATATAAAAAAAAGAAATCTTTCCACTGGCAACAACATGGATGGACCTAGAGGATATTATGTTAAATGAAATAATTTAGAGAAAGATGAATACCATATGGTTTTACTTACATGTGAAATCTGAAAAACAAAACAAATGAACAAACAAAACAGAAATAAACTCATAAACACAGAGAACCAGATGGTTGGTTATCATGGTAGGGGGAGGGTTATGGGTGAAATAGGTGAAGGGGATAAAGAGGTACAAACTTCAAATTATAAAATAATTTAGTCACAGGGATGGGAATACAGCATAGATAATACAGCTCATACTATTGTACTATCTTTATATGGTGACAGATGGTATCATGCCAATGGATTTCAGCCCTGGACAAGTTCACTACAGATTCAATGAGGCTGAGGAACAACAGTGGAATGTTCTTGGGGTGAAAGGGTTTATACCCAACTTTATTCCCATGGTGGCAGGTCAATCATTAGAATCCCATCCACTTAGAGCCAGTCTGCATGCAGCAAGCTGGTCTCTGCCTCTGGGCCTCTCCACACCCAACATCCATCTCAGTCTCTGTCCTCAGCACTGCCGCCACTCCAGCCTCTGCTCTCCTGCAGCTGTGCAGCTGTGCAGCAGCCATGTGGCCATGCCACCATGTTGCCCAGAGCCCTGGGTGGAGCTCTTTATAAAGAGTTAATAACAATGTATTGCTCACATGTGTGTAGTGAGCAAGCTGACCAGGGCCAGGTGAGAATCCTAGCCATAAGAACCTTCACTTTATCCACAGATGGTAACTACTCTTATCATGGTGAGCATTTAGTAATGTTTATAACTGTTGGATCACTATGTTGTTCATCTGAAAGAAATATAATATTGTATATAAACTATATTTCAATAAAAATATACATTTCTTGAAAAAGATAGGGTATCCAGAAATATCCAAACTCTCATAATATCTCCCAGTAAATAAAATCTTTATCTTCCAGATATACTGTCTTGTAGATGGGGTCATATTAATAGTAATAATCCAGATTTTATCGGCACTTGTTTCCACCTGCTTGCACAGGAAACTGAAACTGAACCTGAAAGAAACTGAAAAGTTCCCCCAAACTCTTTTGAGAGTTCAGGTTATGTGCAAAGCCAGTTAACTATCTACTCAGTTACCATTTTATTTTCCCTTCCCCGGTTCTAACCCTCCCAGGCCAGATATTGCTGAGTGCCCTGGCACTACTTCCTCCCCCAGGATGCTGCCATGGAGGTCCTGGAAACTCTGGCATGCCAAAGCAGTGCAGGGGTATGAGGAAGAGCCATAGAGAATGCCCCCTTCTCTCCTATTAGAGGGCTCCCCAGCAGTGCCATTTGTATCCTCTGTCTTGGGATCCTTGCTACTCAGAATGTGGCTATGGACCAGCAGCGTTTGGCAGAATTGTTAGAAATACAGAATCTCAGTCCCCTTTAATTAGAATCTGTATTGAAAGAGCCTGAGGTAGTTTGTGCACAAATTAGTTTAAGAAGCACCTACTTAGAGCACTTCCCTGGGACTAAGGCTTGAATTCAATTGGGACAAAGGCAGTGTGGGCTGGGAAACAAACTGGCAAATCATAGAACCTGTATACGGATGCCTTCCCCTTGATGACCTCATGTTTGTGATGGGGCCAAACTTGGAACGCCTGGCTCCTACTCAGGATGAGCTCCCCCTCAGGAAACCCTCCCTCTGCACTGCCTCAGAGAGGGAGACTTTTGGTGACATTCCACTTCTATTTCAGTTCAACCAGACATGGCTTAGGCTTAAACCAAGAATCCACCAGTCTATGGGAAATCTTACACTGCTGCACATGTAAAATATATTTTTATTTAATAAATGTTTATTCAGCACCTATTATTTACAAAACACTCTATTATGGACTGTGGGAATACCTAAATAAGTAAAACAATCACTACCCTCAGAGGAGGCAAATAAAGATTTATTTTGGGGCAGGTAGGGACATTTAGGAGACAGTGTGAAGAAGGACCCAAAAGATTCCCAAATGGAGCAGTCTTACTGAAGTTTGGAGAAACCACTGTCACATACCATGCCCATAGCCTGTGTGCTTCTGTTCTCCAGGTGGAAACACCCTGCCTCCAGCTCCATTTTTCTACATTCTTACCATCCTTCCAAAGGCCCTTTTCAAATATCAATTTGTCAATAAAATCTTCCATAATCCCCCCAGCTTTTGGACACTTCAAAACTCCCATCATATCCTGCCTTAAGATCAGTTATGTGCATGATGCACCAAAAATAGTTTTGAAGAAAGGAAAAAAATTAAAGGTAATGCATCTATTCTGTTACTGCTTCCCAGTTCAGGAAGTATGTCAGCCTTCTCAGATCCTAGTCAGAATGTGAGGGGGAACTAAAGAACCCAGCTGGGATAGTTAGGAGGATTAGCTTTTTTTTCTTTTTTCACCTTGTTCTTAGCCAGATTGGTTCTTTCATGCAGAAACAACATCCTCATTGGTAGATGAGTAGTTATTAATCTCAGCTGGATGGAATTTCATCTAGTTTTTCAGCTGGATGGAAGTGGGCAGGCTGTATGCCTGTTAGTATTTAAGAAGTCCCTTCCTTGGTGGGTAGCACCTTTTATGTTCATTTTTCCCTAAAATTGAGATGGAATACAAAGCTCAGAACCTCTTCTCTGAAGATTGTAGAGTTGCTGTTAATTACATAGCATCTTATGAGCTGCACGTCAGTGATGCTTATTTATCTATGGTTAGTATGGGTTCTTGAGCCACTGTGAGGAAGGTTTCAGCTCTGGTTGACAATGTATCTTCATACCTTTAGTAATTGTGGTTATAGTCATGTCTGTGGTTTGATACTAGATGAAACACCAGTTCAGCAGCTAGGATCTTGCTGCCCTTGTGCAATGAGTCAGAGCTGCAGTTGCAGACTATGATAGGGAGAATCACTGTTTTTCTAGCAGGTTCCCAAAGCTATATGGCATCAACTCTGTGGGCAGGCTGGCTAAACAATTTTTCATCCTTATGCTATTTTAGGGTTAATGTAGATGTGTTAGAATTGATGAAATAGATGGGCATTTATAATATCAATTTATGCTGGACTTTTGCCAACTGTCTACGTAACTGCTGGATATATAGGTGCTGGCATGCGGGGTTCACAAGTTCACAAATATGTCCTTAGGGAGGCTATAATAGCAAAGATTAGGCACCAGCATATTAGAATCTGGGTGGCTTCTCTTTGAGGTAGCCTGGGTTCAGGAAGACAGGGTCTTCTGGAAATCAAAGGTCAAACTGAGGATCCCAGATTGCCTCTTCTGGACAACCACAGAGACAACCAAGTGAGCTAGTATAAGATTTCCAGTCTTAAAATTCAGTTTCTCACCTCCATCCTATCCCATTCTCACCCCATCCTAGGCTTGCTATTACAATGAAGAAGAGGCTGGAGTACCTCATTTTGCTGCATTCTTTGAAGACCAAGCTGAGGTGAAGAGGGAATATGCAAAGCAGTTCCTAAGATATCTAAGAAGACGTCAGGGTAAAATCTGCCTTCCAGTGATTAAGGTGACTGTGTAACTTTGTGATGACGATCTCCATGGGGTCTTTGCTGGGTCTGAAGAAATACATTTTTAGTTGCTATCTAACTTGTTAAGTTACCCATGTTCCTATATGGAATTATAGCAACTGACTTTTTGGGCAAGCATGTATCTTCTTTGCAGCTTCTTTATATCACTTTGAGTGAATGTTAGCCACTAAATGCTTGTTGGGCTTTTCTCAATGAGCCACACAGAGTGGTGTATGGAACAGCAGAACCATCATCACCTGGGAATTATTAGAAATGCAAGTTTATGGATCCTCAGACAAACTTAATCAGATTCTCTAGGGGTGGGGCCCAAGATGCTGTAGCTTAACAAGTTCTTCAGATGATTTTAATGCTCTGTATAGTTTCAGAAGCACTGCTCTAATGGCCTCTTCCTAGATTGTTACTGCCCTACATCAGCTCTTTCATCTAATTCAGGTGCACATTCAGGTATTTAATTTGGCTGTCTCTTCGGTGTAGTAGAACAAGCATTTTTTTCAGTGGGACAGACTCTCCAAAGAAAAAATCTGAACCTTAGTTGGGAGTATTAGATCTAGAAACATCCCTACTTATCTGGGAGTTCTGTTAATTCCAGCTTTATAAAGAAAACTACCTGTATGGTAGCAACAGAACTGAAACACCATTATGGAATTTCAAAGCTCATGAAATAGTGCATATAACTGCTAGTGGTACCCTTGCTTGGGAGCTCATTAAAATCACATGGCAACCTCTTAAAAAATCTTGATGCTGAGGTTGCACTCCATGCCAGTTAAGTCAGAATGACTGCAGATGAAAGCCAGACATCAGTATTTATGATACTCCACTGATTCTGCTATGCCACAAAGTTTGGAAACTACTGATTTGTGCAAACCTTGTCACAATCCTACCCAGGAAGTTGGATATAACAGAGCTGTGCAAGAGATAAGAAAGTGACTCTCCTGTTCCTCTCCAACAGAGGCCTGACATAGATAACTGGGGAACAGGCATACAAGCTATAGAGTCTGCTCTGCAGTTGGAAAACTCATTAAACAAACTCTTGCAAGACCTGAAGGCCTTGGCTTCCGAGAAGAGTGAAACTGATGTAAGTAGCTAATTGGTACTGAAAGCAGTGTCATCTTTCACTTCTGAATTATGGCTTACTTTTGGGAAATGGGTCCAAGGTAGTGGATGATCCAACATGTCTTTGTTTCACACCCCCCCAACAAAGGAAGTATAGAAGTATATGAACTTATTTCTGGGAGTAGGTGTTGGGAAAGTGGAAGTTACCATGGCCAGGATCCTCACTTGACCCTAATCAACTTGCCCATTGTGCATACAGTGCTCCCAGGTGCATGCTTGCACACCTGTTGATGGTGAGCCTTAGCTGTGTGTGTTGCTGTATATATAAGGAGCTCAGTCCAGTGCTCTGCCCAGGTTGCACAGAGAGGGGCAGAGGCAGAGATGGAGACAGACTGTGAACTTGCCAGAGGCAGAAGTGATTCTAGCACTCACTTGCCATCACAAGACTAGAGCTTGGGTATAAACCCTTTTGCCCCCAACTTTCTGTTGTTATTCACCAAATCCAGAGTGAACTTGCCTGGGGCTGAAGTGACCCTCAGGTGAGACAGTAGGTTGGAGATGGGAGGAGTAGGTTCCCTGGTATAAGGAGGAGTGCAACTCATCATGAGATGGAAAAGACTTATCAGGAATAATGTACTCTAGATAACTTAAAAATACATATTTTTTGTTCTCATAGACTAGAAGTGCTTGAACTTTAATGGTACCAGAATACCTTAGAGGGCTTACTAAAACTACTAGACCCCATGCCCAGAGTTTCTAATGTAATTGGTTTTATATGGTATCAGAATTTGCATTTCTAATAAGTTTCCACGTAATGATACTGCTGGCCAGTGGCCACACTTTGAGAACCACTGCCATGGACTGTCTGTACAAAAGTGAATGTTAATGATTAACTATTTTCCTATAAACTTCTATAAAGTCTTCCTGGTTAATGGTGAACACTCTATCCTGTGGTGGTAACTTTCTCACCACTTTCCTTCTCAGGAAGTCAAAGTGCAGAAAATGCCCTAGTACAAAAGTTATCATATTGGGGTCACTGAAGCTCTGAAGAGGTTCAAATGTCTGAGCCTTAGTCCAGGCCACAAACATATATCTTTGGGAATTGGGTCTGAACCTCTTTTTAACCTCCCTATGATTCAAATAAACAGGGTGGAAACCACTGCAGTAGTAGCTTATTACTTAAATTAATAGGTATATTTGATGAGATGCCCTGGCACTCACACTCATTGAATGTGGAATTTGTATTCACCTGGACATCTTGAATGTCTTAGATCAGTGTTCTTTAAACTTCAATATGTATATGAATTGCCTAGTCCATTCTTAAAATGCAGATTCTGATTTAGTAGTTCTGGGGTGGGACTTGAGATTCTGAATTTCTGAAAAACTCCCAGGACTGCTAGTCCTCAGGCTATAATTTGGGTAGCAAGATCTTAGATACAGACAAGGTCTTTAATGAGTCCTTCCCTGGTTATTTCCATAGCTTATTCACTTCATAGGAAAGTTTCTGGATAAACAGAAGAGAAACATAGGCTATCTGGAATACCAGCTTAATTATCAGAAGGAATTGGAAAAGCAGGACCAGCAGGAAGGCCAGTTGCAAGAGCCTGCTGAAGCTTCAGGTAAAGAGGCCTAACATCCATCGGAGAGTAACACAGCAAATCTTCCTATTGTAGCAGGTCCCAACTCAGCTACTTCACAATTTTGGTCTCAGTTTGATGGAAGACTGCTTTCCTTTTTATCTAGTATCCTAATCTTCATTGTTGTGCATATAAATAAATCTGCATGGCATTATGGTTATGTGTAAAGAGACTGCTATTGGAGCACAAGAAGGGTTAGTTCCATCAATATGAGTTTGCTAAAAGCTCCTGAGGAACAGTAGGTGCATTAGACTAAAAAAAAAAAAAAANCTCCCCCACCCAAAGTTGTATACATAATTTAAGTTTACAAAATAGTAAACATCTAATTAAATGTAAAGCGAAACTTGAAGATGAGCTCTTGGTCTATAAAGGCCAATTCCCATCTGAAAGATGTACAGTGGACAGGCAGCTCCACCCCAGCTATCCTTTCATAGCTGGAGGTAGGCATAGGGAGCAGGAGGGTTACAGGCAATTAAGATATGTCAGACAAGTGTGTAGATGTCCCACCCCCTCCACCATGAACCAACCAGCAGCTCCTGGGGTAATTGCTCTCAGGAGCAAACAATGAGGATGCAAACTTGGGTCAGACCCAGGGGCCTTGTGGGGCTAGTACCACCTGTGAAGAAAGGGATCTTTTAGGCTGTGTCTTGGCTCCAAAACCTACTCAGGGCCATGAACCTAGTTTTTTACCTCCCTCATTGACTCAGTTTAGGCATCCTTCAAGTGGGGTTAATATTACTTAGTTCATAAAGTTAGAAAGAAAATTAGATAAATTAATATGAAAAGTATCTACAGTAGCACCTGCTCAGATCATATATTCTGTTAGCTTGTATAAAAACTAGTGCCACTTCTTAAATTAAGGAATGCCAGTATATAACAGACATACTTACAATAAGAAAACAGGTTACTGAAATCAAGACACAATCTTAAAATATTTAATCTTAGAAAGGAGTATCTTTTTTGAAATAAGAACAAGTGGTTATGAAAATCCACTAGATACCTTGGAAAAAATTTTAAGTTAACAAATGACTTGAATATTAAACACAGCTAATCAAACAAGTGATCTAGAAGTATACTAAGACATTCTTAGTATATAAATGATATTTAAAATAAGACATGGAGTTCCAACAAAAAGTCTAATTAGAGGAGGAAAGTTAAATTGAGAAAAAGATCCATTGTAGTGAGATTTTAGAGCATCAAGGAAGAAAAAGCTCCCAGTAAAAGACATCACTCACAAAGAATGAAAAGTGACATTAACAGCTTTCTCATCAATATTATATAAAAGGGGAAATTGGGAAAAAATCTTGAAAATGCCGAAGGGAAAAATGAATAACAGTGTTAGGGCAGAATAGACCTATTCAGAGATAAAAATATTAAGCTTACAGAAGCTTTTAGCACAAAGGAGACCTTCACTGTGAATATCATTGTTTTTTTTTTGAGAGGGCATCTCTCATATTTATTGATCAAATGGTTATTAACAATAATAAAATTCTGTATAGGGGACTCAATGCACAATCATTCATCAACCCCAAGCCTAATTCTCAACAGTCTCCA